TTTTGGGGGAGGCTTGGGCCAAGGGGAAAGATTCGGGCAACTTACCTTTTGGGGGTTTTTTCCTCACAAGAGGTTTTTTCTGGGGCCACGGCGCCCACCCCGCCTACTCCCTCAAGAAGTGTCGGGTCAGCAGCTGTATGAATAATGATTATCTGTTCACTATGTCCTTTCCTAATTCGAACCCCAGGCCCCATGAAGCTTGCTTCCAAACTTGGAAGTAAGCAGGACCCTCTGGGTGCTGGACGCGGGGCTGGCCAGGGGAGCTCATAAATAGGGCCCAGCCTGGGTCTGGGCTCCGGCAGAGGCTCCTGCTGTGTGGACCGCAGACCTAGGCAGCCGAGGAGGTGTTGCTCGCCCCGCCTGCCCTCCAGTCCTCCACCGACTCGATGGTGGCTTTGCAGAAGAAGCAGTCCTTGTTGTTCATCAGGTGCTGGTTGATGCAGGCTCTGCAATGGAGGGTGAGGGGGCCTGCGGTCCCTGCTGCTCCCTGGCCCAGCCCCGCCTCCTGCACCCAGGGGGGCCCACTTACTTGCAGGACTTGTGGCCACAGGGCTGGAACACCGCAGAGATGGGGTGCGCATAGCAGATGGGGCAAAGGTCCTCCTCGCTGGTGGGCTGCAGGGAGCACAGTGCAAGGTGGGTTAGGGTGGGCCGCCCGGGAAGGCGGCCATAGCCAGGCCTGTAAGTGCAGCCCTGCCCTCAGGCGATGGGCGTGGCCCTGTGGGTGCCCCGCTCACCAGGGAGGCAGCTGCAGCCTGGGCAGACGCGGAGGTCAGGTGTGCCAGCATCTGCTCCACCTGGGCCAGCTCCTCGCTGCTGATGTAGTCTGTGTCTGGGATGGTAAGAAGTGTCAGGCCGACTGTGGCCCTAGAACCCAGGGCCTCGAGTACCCCAGCCCGAGCCAATGAGATTCCTGGCTCAGCCCCAAATCCCTCTTCCCTGACCCACCCTGCCAACTCACAGCTCTGTAGGGAAAAGCGCTTCCGGTCAGGGGCAGGCGGGGCAGTGCCAGGGCCGGGGGGCTCTGGGTGCCCCAGAAGATAGCGAATGGAGCGGAGCTGGAAACAGGGGTCAGCCAGGAGCACTGACGTGGCTTTCTCCGTCCTGGGTGGGAGGATCCCAGTGTAAGGGGCTCAGGGGCGCCACCAGCAGGTAGTGCAAGTCCACCTGCCCCCTAATACACACTGAACCCTTTAAAGCAAACAGCGGCTTACAGGCTGCTCCCCAGGCGTCCCAGCTACTGTTTCACGGAGAACCTGCCTACCAGCGCCGGCCGGCTCGCCGGGGTCGTGACTGCTCCGCCCCCTCCGACAGGAGCCAATGGGAGCCGAGGCCCCGCCCCTGAGCAATCACCTCCCGAGAGTATTTAGGGGCCGAGTGTCCAGGAGAACACTCGCAAGGCTGGGGAAACTCGAGAAGGGAGCCGAGGGAGCGCAGCTCAGCTCAGCCTGCAACTGGGAGCGGGAGCTGCCGGCTGTGCGGGTGGAGCTCGCATCCTGCCTCCCAGGCCACGGGCCGGAACAGAGGGGGCTCCCAGGGCTGCGCCCCGCAGAGCGACGGACCCACCCCAGGTCGTCCCGCCATGACCTGGCTGGTGCTGCTGGGCGCACTGCTGTGCACGCTATGCCTCGGCTCAGGCTCCCTGGACTCCGAGGGCTCCGTGCCCCTGGCGCCCCTTAACTGTCCCCACAAGTGCATCTGCGCTGCCGACCTGCTGAGCTGCGCGGGCCTGGGGCTGCAGGACGCGCCGGCCGCCTTACCCGCGGCTGCTGCCGACATCGACCTGAGCCACAACGCGCTCCAGCGCCTGCGCCCCGGCTGGCTCACGCCCCTCTCCCAGCTGCGCGCCCTGAGCCTGGGGCACAACCAGCTGGAGGCTCTGGGTCGCGGCGTCTTCACCAACGCCAGCGGCCTGCGGCAGCTCGACCTGTCCTCCAACTCGCTGCGGGCGCTCGGCCGCCACGACCTCCACGGGCTGGGGGCGCTCGAGACGCTGCTTCTGTTTAACAACCGCCTGGCGCACTTGGACCGGCTGGCCTTCCAGGGCCTGGGCGCGCTCCGCTGGCTCTACCTGGGCTGCAACGAGCTGGCGTCCTTCTCCTTCGACAGCCTGCACGGGCTCAGCGTGACCCACCTCCGCACCCTGGACCTCTCCTCCAACCGCCTGGGGCGGATCCCCGTGCCGGACCTGGCCGCGCTGCCGGCCTTTCTCAAGAACGGCCTTTACCTGCACAACAACCCGCTGCCCTGCGACTGCCGCCTCTACCACCTGCTGCAGCGCTGGCACCAGCGGGGGCTGAGCGCCGTGAGCGACTTCGCGCGCGAGTACACCTGCCTGGCGTTCCGGGTGCCCACCTCCCGCGTGCGCTTCTTCGCGCACAGCCGCGTTTTCGAGAACTGCTCGGCGGCGCTGGCTCGGGGCCTGGAGCAGCCGGAAGAGCAGCTGCAGGTGCAGGTGGGCGGGCCCCTGAGGCTGGACTGCAACACCAGCGCCCCTGCCCGGCACATCGCCTGGGTCTCCCCGCAGCGAGAGCTGCTGGTGGCGCCAGGATCCCGCAACGGCAGCATCGAGGTGCTGGCCAACGGCAGCCTGGCCATCGGGAGCGTGCAGACCTGGCACGAGGGCATCTTCGTGTGCCTGGCCACCGGGCCCCGCCTGCAGCACAACCAGACGCACGAGTTCAACGTGAGCGTGCACTACCCGCACCCGGCGCCCGAGGCTTTCAACACCGGCTACACCACGCTGCTGGGCTGCGTGGTGGGCCTGGTGCTGGTGCTGCTCTACCTGTTCGCCCCGCCCTGCCCCGGCTGCCGCCGCTGCTACCGGCGCGCCTGCTGCTGCCGCCGCCGGCCCCGCACCCCCAGCCCGCTCCAGCAGCTGAGCGCGCAGTCCTCGGTGCTCAGCGCCACGCCGCCCGACGCCCCCAGCCGCAAGGCCAGCGTCCACAAGCACGTGGTGTTCTTGGAGCCGGGCAGGAGGGGCCTCAACGGCCGAGTGCAGCTGGCGGTGGCGGAGGACTTTGATCTCTACAACCCCGTGGGTCTGCGGTTCAAGGTTGGCTCTGAGTCCACGAGCTCCACGGGCTCTGAGGGGCTGGTGATGAGCTAGCTGCCCAGGGCCCCCCCAGGCCACACCCGCCGGCCACTTGCCCTGCGCCCTGCTGCGCAGAGAACTACCAGGCGCCGGTGGGAGCCGCCTGCTAGGCCCTCCCTCGCACAGCGGCCCCTCTCACTGGGTTGTTTCTGCACAGGGCCTGCTGTGCCCCTTTCCTGGGGACACAAGCATGGGAATGGAGGTCCACCTGGAGAGCCCTGGCCTCAGAGCAGGGGCCGCTGAGGGGGAGGGAGTGGGTCAGGGGAAGGGGAGACCTGGCCCCAGCCTCAGGTGGAAGAGTAAACATACTCTCCCCCTGTACACTCAACAGACCAACCTCCTCTCAGCTTACCAAGTCCAGGTCCAGTCTGGTGGACAGGCGGGAGGCAGGTAAAGGCTCCTCAAGA